AAAAAAAAGAAAACAATTCGATCATGGATTACAAAAAAATCGATCATGGATTAACAAAAAAAAAAGAAAAAAAAGAAAAAAAAAAAAATTCCGTACGAGACTCCCCGATTCACTGTACAGACTCGCCATTTCCGTACAGTGAATCGACGAGTCACTATACAGAATCGTCCGGTTCTCTCTAGAACCAGACGATTCCCGTTTTTTTCGCCGATTTGATGCGCTCATGGCGATTCCCGAGTCGAACCGGGCGAGTCCGGTTCAACTCGGCGTTTTTTTAAACACTGCTTTCATCTATTGGATTTAAAAAAGATCGAGACCTCCTTTTACCAAAATAAATGGTATCATAGTATACAATCCCAATATCATGAACATGTCTATTTCAAAAATCATAGGTGTAAAATTGATCATTTAATTAGGAATAAAATTGATCATTTAATTAGGAACAAAGCGGTTATTTTCATAATATCAATTTATAACGTGTCTCCTCAATTATTCTATAAAAAAAAGTCTAAAATTACGCTTGTTCATGAGTTAAAATATTAACAAAATAGGTATTTTGGTAACTTTGTCCCACTTGTTTTTGTTGAAACCTTTTCTTCCTTGTCGTACCAAGAATAAGGTGGGGCATTTATGTTAAGGAAAGAGTTTATATAAGGTTGCAACTTGATATTGTTGTAGTAAGGCACACCTAAAAAATCCTCTAGTGGATAATGTTTTGGCATAGGAAAACCCTCCAACTGATCACCTCGACCTTGAGATGAATGGACATGAATAAAAAAACGAATTCCAAGTCCAAAATATTTGAGGGTAACCGTTTGGAATTGGGTAAGATCAAGGAGAGGATCCTACAAAATATTTGGTTGTGGCTATCTGTTACTAAAGGAAGATTGGAGATTTTTAGGATTGATGTGTTTCTAAATCTAAGATCTTTGATGGCTTTCAGAGAACTTAGACCAGTCATTCGTAGAACGTGGATCCCACCTAGTAGGGGCTGCATCAAACTCAATTTTGAAGGGAGCTCTTATGGAAATCTTGGGCCTGTTCGTTTGGAGGGTCTTGTATCAGATTCTTCGGATAGTGAAATTTTATCATATTTCGAACCTTGTGGGACTCCCATTGCTAACAATGCTGAGTTTATGGCTGTTCTACAAGGGGTACAAATTATGAAAGATAGATTTGCGATGATGGGGTGGGTGATTGAAGGGGACTCTCTAAACAGTATTAATTGGTGCTCGGGATTGAGCAAGCCTCCATGGAGCTATAGGAAGCAGTGAATGCAAGTTTTTGATTGCTACAGAAATCAAGTACTTAGTTTTATTCATGTTTATAGGGAGGTTAATGTAAGAGCTGATTCCTTGTTCAAAGACGGTGTTCATGCTAATCGTCTAGTTATTTCAACTTTATCTTTGTAATAGTGGCAATTTATCTTGAATAAAAGTTTATTGTGCTTGTCAAAAAAAAAAGTCCAAAAAATAGTGTATCTTTCAACAAGTTATCTAGACCATTTATTTTTAAGATTGTGAAACATTTCTTGATCTTCTTGATCTATACTATTTTTTAAAGGGTGTGGTTTGTATAAGGTTGCAACCTTAAACAATCCAATTAAGGCATCCAAAATTTATCATAACATGTAATTTTCGTAAAAATTCTTAAGATTATTTGAAATCTATTTTCGTATCTAATTATAAAATTTTAAACTCCAAAAATGGTTAAAATCAAGTAAATAAAACATATGAAAATCTTGAAAGTGGACGGTCTAGATAATGTGTTGTAAGATGCACTATTTTTGGGACTAAAAATCTCTTTTTTTTTTTTATATTCATACATCTCAATATCGAGATGATTAATTTGAGGGCTTTTCAACATTGAAACAAACTTTTTCGATGGATTTTTGATAGACACCTTTAATTCTACATTTTAAGATTGCAATCTTATATAAACTTTTTCCCTTTTAAAATTTTAAGTCATCATAAGATTTTCATCACCAAAACAACATCTCTAAATACATTTGGTAAATGCGCCTTACTTCTACAGTATAAAGAGGCAACCTTATAGAAACCTCACCCTTATTTTAATTGACTTGATGTAAGTTGCCCAAGCCAAATAATGAACCTGCCTCCTGTCATTCCGGGTTTGGAACTTTGAGCCCTTTGTAAAAATCTCGTACTCTGGGTTACAACCCAAAACGAGTGGCGGTGTTACGGTAATTTAGCCGCACATATATAATGCTAAATTACTAGAATACTCCTGCTTATTCATTTCAAACCCTAAGGGCATTTTGATCATATCTTAGCCAAATACTTGACGAGGTACGAGTATGAAGTGGTCTTATATAGTATTTACTTTATTGACAAAGTGGCCTATTGCAGCACCTTAGTGATTTTCTTTAAAGGTGGTTTTATCCTATTAATGATATTTTCACTCTTTTTAATAGCACCCATAATTTCTCCTCTACCTCGACTTAAAGAAATATCTAATAGTAGGGATCTTGTTATTCAAAATTTTGAGAATCCAATCTCTTCTAATGTGCACCTTCTCTCCTAGAGACAAGCGATGCAATAGGAAAAAAAGAGGGCATTATAGATTCATAATCTTTAAAAAAATTTTTATTGGAAAACTATATTAAGAGATCATTTATTTTTGGTACAAGAAGATCATAATCATTTTTTTCTATCATATTTCTAATCGGATAGCTGTAAAAGTATCATTGACTAGTCTCAAAGTTCGGAAAAAAGAATTTACACCTTCCTGACACAACCGAAAGCCATCCAATTTAAAATCTAATGGCTAGGAATCTTGATACCAAAAATAAATGGTCTCATGATATACGATCCCTTATTTATTTTGTTTTTGAAATTTGAGATATTAGTCTTTGTATTCTAAGTTCACACTTAGTCCTAGGTGGAGATAACGTACAATAATATGGTTTTATAATACCAACCATACCCACATAATATCTGTAAAACCCTAGTCGATCACCTTCGATTGCCCCACCACCATGGACGGTGTGGATGAGATCCGTAGCTAGTTAAATATGCCATTATCAACCTATAGGACTTGTGAATAGTTGTGAATAACATATCATTTTCACTTCTTATATGTTTTATATAAGGGAAAGCTTTCTATGTGATCTCACCCACGTATACACGAGACCCCTAATATCAACCGTCAGATCTGTGTAGAGAGCTGAGATGGCTTGAATCAATCGTCAGATCTTGATCCGATAGCTCATAGTGTTTTATTTTTAATTTTTATTCTATAAATCATTTTGAAGCAAAATTTGAAATATACATAGATTTGATAGGGGCATGCATGATAAAAATAATAAAACAAAATAATATTTTTGATGAAGAGAAAAAAGATGAAAAATTAAACAGTATTTGGCATGACACTGTGACATGAACAATCGCAACGGCTGAAAAGTAGTGACATGAACAATCGCACCGGCTGAAAAGTAGGATCACATATAAGTTATATGCTGGTGGGTCATAGATAAAGCTTTCCCTTTATTTTATTATTTTATTATATAATAGGTCACGGTCTTATGGGATTGCATCCTAAGTTCTTTATCCCCTCTACCATAGCAACATCTCATAGAAAAACCCTAAACCCTAAACTTCACCGTTTAAATGAAGAATGCAGAAGAAATGAAATCTAAAGAAAGAGCAAAAGAGAAAAACCCTAAAACCCCAAAATATTGAATTCCTACATATTTTATACAACAGGTCAATGTCTCATAGGATTCACCCCTAGTTCTTATACCTGTACCAAAGTAACATCTCATACCCTAAACCCTAAACTTTAACATTTAAATGAACAATGCAGAATAAGTGAAATCTCTAAAGAAAGAGCAAAGAGAAAAACCCTAAACCCCCAAATCCCCCAAATCCCAAGGACTAGTCTCTAAGCCATAAAGCAAAGCAAGATTTATCGGTTGGATTCCTAACATTAGGTTTCTTATAAAGAGTTACATTTTATGCAAACAAAGAAAAGCAAAGCCATTAACAGGAATCCATTAACTAAGTAAATCATTTTGTACAGACTCAATGAGCACCGAAATTTTGAACATGGGTTTTTGATTTCAATTTACCTAGATGAGAGAAACAGAGAGATTGTGATGAATGCATTCATGGTTTGAAATCAAACCTGGAGCACTTAATGGATCCCATTGAGATGTCAATCTCTATCAAGTTATCTTCTACAAACTCTGAGAGGAACTCCATTAATCCCTGAGCCCTCAACAAGCTCTCTTCACAGTTTCCCATCACAATGTCTTTAGACCCAATATAGTTCCCATCAGGCAAATCAATCTCAATGAGGCTCTCATCATCTGAACAAGAATCTAGTGCCTCCACACCATTTTCTGTCTCTTGATTCTCTTCCTCCACTCTTTCTATCTCTAACTCGTTTTTGGTCAAGTTTTCTCTCTCTAGATCTTCCTCTATGCAAGTGTCTGAACTCTCTACAGGCACAATAACATGTGGGTTTTCCCTGATGGAGTGTCTGGAACAAGGAGTAACCGTATAAAGAGCTAAAATGGAAATGATAAATACAATAAAATGCACCAAAAGATTGCTTTGGTAATAATAATATATGGTGAAAATTCCAACTGTGAAACAAAAAAAACCAAATAATAATGTCCTGAAAGGGAAATGGGTATGATGGGTTGGTCTAATGGTATCCATTTGTAGCAGCCTTTTCCTCTTTTTTCTTATTCAAGTGGCTGAAAACAAGGACTCCATGTACATGTGCCCTCAACTTGTCATAAAAGGCAGTCTCGCTCTCACAGAAGGGGATTCCCTTGGCTGATTGAAACAAACCTGTAGATTTATTTCTCTCGGCCTCCCTCTTGTTGCCCACCAACCTCTCTCTCTCTGTCTCTTCCTTTTGTATTCAGTCTGTTTTCTTCTGGTCCTTTCTCTGGTTTCCCTTCTTCGATTTGCCTAGTTTTCTTTCAAGGACTATCTCAAGCTTCCTTTACTCATATTTTGAGTTCTCTCTCTCTCTCTCTCTCTCCTGTTCTTGGGTTCTCTTTCATTTCACCGTCTTTTTTGGGTTCTCTCTCTAGGTTTTTTTTTTTTGTATAGAGATGGGATTCCCTAGGGGCTAATCGGAATTTGAAACTCCAATGGAGATGGGCCTGGATCTTGGGCAAAACAAAGTGTGTTGTGTGTGTTAATAATGCGTGGGAATATGAGAAGACATGTGAAGCATCCCTAGGTTCTTCCCTCCCTCCCCAAACCCCCCCCCC